CGTCGGCGGCGACGGATCTCGGTCACCGGCAGACGGCGCAGCGACGATCAGCGGATGGTGGCGCCTCAGGTAGCGCCGGTTGCGCCACCAGATTCTCCCGCTCGGGACTTTGATGAGGTAGTCGCGGCGTTTTCCAATTCCCACGACGATGCCGGTCCGGTCCCACTGTCCGGTCTGCGGGTCCCGAACGTCCACGTGGTCGCCCATTGCGAGCGGCGCTAGTGGCCTGGCGGAGATGTCGTAGTCCCGCTTCGCTTTCTTTCGAAGGTCGGCTGCTCGGGCGTCGCACACGTCTGCCGCCTCTTGCCACTCCTTGGCAAACGTCCTGTGGTGGACGGGCAGAGCCGTGCGGATTGGGTGCCCGAACAGAGTCTGCGCTGGTGAGCGGCCGTCAGCGCGGGGCGTGTTTCGCAGCTCCAGTAAGGCGCGTGCGAATTCATCCGAGTCCAGGTTTCCTTCGTCGGTCGCTTTCCGGACGAGATTCTTCAGCTTCTTTACTGCAGCTTCTGCGTGGCCGTTAGCCTGGTGATGATGAGGTGATGATATACGGTGGTCCACCCCCCACCGCGTCAGGAACCGGCGGAGGATGCCTGAGGTGAACTGCGGGCCTCCGTCAGACCGGAGGAGCGCCGGCACGCCGGTGGCTGCGAACAGCGCCCGCAGTTCGGTCACGAGGTGAGCGGCGGAAGCCGATCGGGGGCATGACGTCACGTATGGCCAGCCAGATAGACGGTCGACGTAGACGAGGAAAGTTCGTCCTCCGTAGTGAAAATAGTCGGCCGATACAGACTCGAACACCCGTGTGGGCGGCGAATCGTCCTGCCACAGGGGCTCCTTAGGCTGGGCAGACCGGTAGATGCTGCAGCGTGCGCATGATATTACGCACTGCTTGATATCGGAGTCGCATCTCGGCCAGTAGACCGTCTGGCGGGCTCTCCGGCAGGTGGCGTTGATGCCCTGATGTCCATCGTGAAGTCGTTGCAGTGTTTCTCTCCGGAGCTCTTGTGGGATCAGGAGCCGAGGTCCATATACGATGAGTCCGTCATCGATGGCCAGTTTGTCTCGAACGTTCCAGTACGGACGGACGGACGGGTCGAGACGGTGCTTCTCATCGGGGAACCCGTGAATGATGAGGTCTCGGAGCGCGGTGTACTCAGGATCTCGTGACGCTGCGGCTCGTACCATCTCCAGCGTCTTGTCTTGCAGGGGCGCAAGAAGTGTCCCTTCTGCATCGACGGCAGTAAGGGCCGTGACCACGGACAGATGCAGCGGGTCGGGTTCGGTGACTTCAGCCACCTCGTCCTCCATCGAGGGGTCGTTGACCGGTGCACGGGAGAGCGCATCAGGAATCTGATGGCATGATCCTTTCCGCCAGCTGGCGGTGAAGGTGTACGCCGTGAGCTTTTCTCTCATCCGCTGTAGGCGGCAGTTCTCAATCTCAGATAGCAGCTTGCTGTTGAGCACTGGAACGAGAGGGCGATGATCGACGATGACGTCAAAGTGAGGCATGCCGACCAGGTAGAGATGGCATTTCTTGATTGCCCACACGACACCGGCCATCTCCATCTCGATACAGGCGTACCGAGACTCTACATCGCTGAGGAACCGTGATCCGCACTGGATCAGTCTCCAGTCCTTGAGGCCGTGACACTGGAGGAGAGCGTAGCCCAGTCCTCCGGTCTTGGCTGCATCAGTGCATAGCACTGTGGGGAGGCTGGGGTCGAAGAAACCCAGAATCGGCGGAGAACTGAGCGCCGACTTGACCCTGCTGAAGGCGTTCTCGTGTACTGGGGTCCACAGCCACGTATTCCGAGGCTTCAGAAGATCTCGGAGGGGGGCCGCCTCCTGAGCCACCTCGGTAGAGAAGGAGCTGAGCTCAGAGCTGGTTAGCGAGTCCAAGGAAGGATCTCAGGTCCGTTATGTTCTGTGGTCGCGGGAACTCCGAGATGGCGGACGTCTTCCTGCGATCCACTGTGTAGCCGTCCCGAGAGATCTGGTAGCCACAAAATTCGACACTTGTGCGGCCGAATCGGAACTTCTGGGCGTTGAGCGTGATGCCCTGTGCTTCACATTTCTGCAGAATGCGGACGACATGAGCGAGATGCTCCGAATACGTCTCGTCGTGAGCCAGGATGTCGTCAACAACTTTGACGGTGCGTGGCACGTCGCCCAGGGCCTGATCGCCTCGCCGGTTGTACTCATCTCCGGCCGAGACGAGTCCCATCACTGCACGGTTGAAGCGGTACCTGCCCCATGGAGTAATGAAGCAGGTCAAGTCCTTAGAGGAGTCATCCAGGCTGATTTGATAGTAGCCCATTGCTGCGTCCATGGTGGTCAACCACTGCGCGTCTGGCGTGATCGACGAGACCGCCTCATGCGGTGGACGTACAGGGTACGTGGGGCGTTTCACGTACTTGTTCAATCTTGTTAGATCGATGCAGATGCGCACTCCTCCCTGCTTTTTCGGCACACATACCAATGGATGGCACCAGTCGGTGGCGTGATCGACCTTGTCGATGGTGCCCCTCGCGAGAAGGTCGTCCAGCTGTTGCTTCACGCCGTCGCGCCAGCAGAACGGAATGCTCCTGGCGGCGGTGATGGCGAACGGTCGCGCGCCGTCAGCCAGGTCGATGTGCATCGGTCCGCCGGCCATCTCTCTCAGAGTGCTTTTGTTGTCGAAGACGCTCGCGAATGCACTGATCAGTTGCTCTTCGTGACGAGCTCGCTGTTGTGGTGTCGGCGGCTGGGCACTGGTCCAGGTCGGAATCGACCGGCTGTCGGCCGCGGACGAAACTGAGGTTCCCACGTTCTCCGCTAGAGGCGCTGGTGGGCTCGTTGGATCCAGAGTATCCGGTATAGATGTCGCCAGCGAGCGATGATCGCGCTCATGGGAGCTAGCGGGCCGGGCAGGAGTTCCTGGTCGCTCCTGGACCGGTGGCGTCTGACTGGCAGTGCAGGTCGATGGCGGCCGGACGGCCGTGCCCGACACTGCTGGTTGTGCCGGCCGGCGAGTAGTCGTCGGCCGATCACTGGATGGGCTGGGGACGGTGGCGGCGTCACGTGCCTGAGCACGTGGTGGCTGGCCGCCGGCATCAGTGCGGCGCGTCGGTGTCGACCGCGCGGCCGCGGCGCGCCGCACGGGCGGAGCGGCCGCCGCACCTCGCGCTGGCCCACCTTCAGGTACGGCGCTCTGCGCCGGCGGAGCGGCCGCGGCGCCCCGCGCCGTCTCGCCGGCGGGCGCGGCGTTCCGCGCTGTTGTTGTTCTGCTGCAGTCTGGAAGACTCATCTGGTGTAACTGCAGCGGGTAGTCGGCCGGGAAAATCCCGAGCTGCACGGAGTCCCACCAGGAGAGCAGTGCTCCTCGCAGCTCGCCGATGACTGCGATCTCCGTGGTTATGCGCCGGGAGCCGAGCTGGATGGTGGCCTGAAATGAGCCGACAGACGTCAGCGGATAGCCTCCTGCAGCTGAGAAGGTCTGGGGTGGCACACCGTTGTCATAGTCCGACACACCCAGAGCGGCGGCCTCATTTGGGCCGACAACAGTGGCTTCGGCACCAGAGTCGGGGATGCAAAGCAGAGACCCGCTGCCAGAGTTGTGTGTGACGAGCACTTTCACACGGGGAGCCGGGTGGGTCACACGACTGGTAGTGTGCACATCAGCTATGAGGTGATGAACATGACGGTGTTGAACGTGCTGCTCCTGAGACTGGATTTTTCCCAAGCACATGTTTTCAAAGTGGTTCAGTTTGGCACATTTTGAACATTTGTGTCCACGAGCAGGACAGTCCTGCAACCTGCCATGCCACTTGTTGCCACAGAATTTACACATGTTTGAAGCTGAGCGCGACTTGGACTGTGACCTTGCACGGCTTGTGGACTTGTCCCTCTGATATTGTGATTTTCGTCCCACTCTCTGAACAGCATGGTGAGTCAAGGTGGCACAGTTTTTGGACGCAACTTCATGGCTCCTGGCCATGTCAAGAGCCTCCTGTAGTTTGAGGTCCTTGACATTTAGCAGGCTGCGCAACAAACTTTCATCCCTGACACCCATGACAATCTGGTCACGCAGGCGCTCATCAGAACATTCTGGGCAGAAGTCACAAAATTTGCTGATTTCCTTGAGAGAGATCAGAACTTCGTCGAAAGACTCTCCGACAGCTTGGCGTCTGGAGAAAAACTCCCTTCTGTCCAGCAGAACTGACCTCTGGTCTCGAAGATACTTTTGCATTGCATCAAGAAGCGCTGGGAGCTCTGTGACTGTGTTGGCAGCACAAATGGAATGCTGGATTATCCTGCACCAGTCATCATCAACCAACCCCTCTAGCACCATTTGCTGTTGTCTGAATGGCAGAGTGTCAATCCCGGTGAGTGAGCAATATCCTTCAAATTTACTCCTCAGATGGCAAATTCTCTGAGGTTCGCTTGACCAGCTAGATGTGGAGCGGGTGTTGCACTTACTGGAAGTTTCGGAGGGCTTACGTTCATGTTGAGGGCGGAGGCGGCTGGCAAAGCCTGCGGCTGCGTCTGACCTTGACCCTGACCGCGCAGCAGATCCTCCATCATGGAGACTAATCTCTGTTCGCGTTCTTGGGCGGCGGCGGCTTGCTCTCGTAGCATGGTGGTGAGGTCTTGCACTAGCTCAGCACCTGTCGGCTGCGCCATGTTACGTTACTGTCTGTTAAATGATAACGATAATTTGTTCGCCCCTGCAGCACGCACCGCACACGACCGCGTCTCCGGCTCGACTGTATTTGCCTGGTCAGCACACGGGGATTCCAACTGAAGGGAAACTTTCACGTTGAAGGGAAACCCTTACGACACAAAAAGAAAGGAGTTTTGGTGCGGATATTTTCATTATGGGAGAATGCAGACTACAATGCCACACGGTGTTTAATTTGCGCCTCAATGAAGCTTCACCTCAGCGACCATATAGGAGGTACTTATACCTATACGGCACAATAAGGGGGAGTCGCTGACACTGCCGATGTTGTCCGTTTCAGCTCTTGGCTCGGAGGACGAGGAAAGGCTGGTGGCCGACCTCTTCTTCGGCTACAACAAGCTGATTCGGCCAGTTGAGAACATGACCAAAACAGTCAACGTCGAGTTTGGCCTGGCCTTCATCCAGCTGATCAGCGTGGTGAGTAGTAGATACGGTTTAGCCCGTTGCAACGGCATGACGTGTGCAACGTAACGCGAATGGCTCCGTTCATGATGACTAGCATAGAGGAGATGGTATGCCTAAATTATGAAATAGGTACCGAGCTTTGTTGTAGTTGGCGACTGAGTGAGCAGGTAGCGGTTGCATTAGGTATACATAGGTGTTACGCAGACGAATGAAGCGGTAGCACCGTGGCAGAGGTCATGGAAATTCAGTCATTTTACTGTATGTCAAGCAGAGACGGCGTCACAAGGGGGGAGGACAGAGAGCCAGTTGCCCAAAAATATCAGACATGTCATTTTCCTGAATTATACTCCAATCAATGTTGTTATGATCATCTAAAACATATGTGAGTTGTACGGACGCTTAAATAAATAAACGTACCTTTCATATGTTACGTACGTGGTGAGGTAATGGCTTTTCTTTTCAGAATAACTTGAGCAAACATAGCTTTTTTTATTAATTTATAGCTGAACTTCACTGTAAATTTCAATAATGCGTGTCTTCCATAGTTGGAAATGTTTGTGATTGAATCAGCTTCACATCAAGAAGCGTCGTTTTCTTCCCTCGCCCCGGTGGAGGGGGGGGGGGGCAATGTGGCCCACTGTGTTTTTCCTGAATAGCAAGAAAACGGCGGCGCACAGCGCCGCCAAATTTTCAGTACCTTCCCGGGCATCAATTGGACACCTTCACACACAATTTCAAGTCATAGGTTACCGTAGGCTAGGAATTATTGAGGTCAAACTGAGGTCATGTTCGAGCAAAAATGAGCAAAAAACATGACATCTTGAAACGCTCACAAAATCTACAGTTCACAAGCAATTTCAAAGTTCTTTATGTGGTCGTGTAGAGAAAAGACGGCGCTACAAAACTGCTATCTCGGGTTGTCAAAATTTTGGGATTTTGTCCCTCAAAAAAAGATTTGAAAAATATAAAAAATCCCGATTTTTTTCGAAGTTCGAAAAAATCGGAATATATATGATAGCTCCTCTATCTACATACCATATTTGAGATCGATATCTCCTTTTTTTGGCCAAGTTATAACGAGAAAACTGTTCAAAATTGATGACGTCAAATTTTTAACTCATTGTTTAGCTATTCTAGACCACGTAGCGCAAAACAATGACCACCATTAGACTCCCCGTGACGAGCTACATCGAATCGATACCCATTTTATACAAAAATATCAAATTTGAATTTTGACCTAAGTTTACCGGACTGACCTTCGGCTTCATCAGAACTTAAACTGGCCCCAAAGCAGCCTGACCCACATAATCGCATTTGCCATGTAAAATGGACCATAAAACATGCATCACATGATATTTTCATCTTGTGACCCTCAGTGACCTGACCTCTGTGACCTGACCTGGTATCAGTGACCTTAAATAGCAAAATATGTGTTTGATGAATAATACCCCATCGATGATTTTCAATGACATGCATTTTACTCGAATTTTTTTACAACATATTTCTTGAAATGCCTGTAAATGGTAAAAATTCGACATTTGGCCTGACCTGTGACGTCATCGGTTTGATGACTCCGGACTCGGCTGCTTCTCGCTATGTTGCGTGGTTACCGAGATCTTAGGGGGGGGGGGTCAAAATACCCTCCCCCACCCCCACCCAGCGTTGCTTGGCAGACCCCAACGGGGCGCGGGTTAAGTTTGCTGGATAATTTGGTTTAAGTTGTGATATTTTTCGTTGGGTGTGCATGCATGTGTAGTTTGTCCAAAGATGGTACATAAATCGCATAAATCGACCTGGATTTATGGGATTAAAGAAATCAGGAACAGACTAAATTGGCCCACCCGGTCCCGCGGGAAGAAAGGAAGGGGAGGGGGCACGATGGAATGTCGGTAGTCGTTGAGTCCTAAAAAAATCTTTGAATATATGGTGAGGTTCGCAGGAGATCCCGTGTCCTGATAGTCCTGCTTTGAACATGATGCGAGCGGGGGATTGTATGGCCAGTTTTGTGTTTACATTTGCCAGAGACTTACCTGGTATGTATTCCTCTTTTTTCAGAATGAAAAGAACCAGATTATGAAGTCCAACGTCTGGCTACGTTTGGTGAGTAACAAGTTTTTGAACGGCTACAGCAATGGCACATACCTACTTTACCCACTGATGGAATGTGTATTTTAGAAGAAAAAAAAAACAATAAAACGTCTCTGCATAAAAATGATAACAGTTGATTTCTTTTTCTTTCTTTCTTTTTGCTTTGATTTTTTTTTTTTTGGCGGTGATGTTCCTTATTTCGACAATGCCATTTTTTTATCTGATGTCGGTCGTACAAATCGCATACATTGGGCAAAACAGGCTAATATGTGGATACAACGTATGCCTTAGTGATCAACTGCGCTGTGAAGCGCCTATGTGGAAGCATTTCCATTACTTATACCAGGCGTTGCCGCAGCCAAGCGCAAAGATACAGGTTGCATGTATTGTATTTTGTAATAAAGGGGTCTCATTTCGACACCTTTTTTTTAACCCCACATCTGCCCTCCCGTGAATTTCCGGGAGGCACGAAATATCTCCTTTTAAAAGTGTCCAATCGTCCGATCCTGATCAAATATGTGTGTTCGTAGGCCTGTTCTGGTATTGCTTTATCTGCCAAGACAGACAAACTTGAGAAAAATCGAGTGATTGTACCTTTTTTGAAGGTGTCTAACCAACTTGTCTAAAATTCACCGGAGAACAAATGTGGGGTTTAAAAAAAGGTGTCGATTTAACCTATGTACCTACATTGATAACTTTACACGTCATTACAGTGATAACTGAATAACAGGTGCCGGAGCTTTATTTCATAAAGTCAGCATGAAGCTGTGGCTAATGAAAAGGTGTGAATTGAATTTTAAATGCGTTGAGTAGGTTTTTGCCTTTTACATTATAATACATTTTGTTACTGCAGGAGCCAAACTATGTTGCCTCTCTTTCCGAGTCGTAGAATCGAGTGGACCTGCAGGAACGTTGTCGTTGATTAAATGCATGGCAATAATAATTTATTCCCGGAGTGCTGCTTACTCGATGTCTCATGTCAGATGTCATACACAGCACGTAACATGAAGCCAGATCAGGCGATCGCTGCATCAGAAAATTGTCATTAGCTAATGGGCTAATTTGTATGACGGGTTGCACGCTGTCGTAACGTAACTTTTTATTATCGATTTTTTAGTCAACAGAACAAAGTCACATTACTGCAAATTGTGAGAAATGCTGCAAGTGTGTGAAATGTAGGTTGTATGTGCTGCTAACATTTGCAACCTTTTTTGTTGCAATGTGGCCGTTTTCACGACGGAACTTTCGCAGAGGAACTTATTTGATACCTAAAAAGTACCTACCCTTAGAGGCCTTAACATCCCTCAAACTGAAATATTTTATGTTCAAAATAATTTTAGAAGTTTAAATCCGGGCATTTTTTGCCCTCAAATCACTTATTTATTTACAAACACAGCAATTTTTGGTTCTAGTAGCCCACCTTTCGACTATGAGGTATTAAATCAGCGTGGCAACTTGCTCCCTCTTTGCTCCCTCGGGTATCTAATTCCGGAATTCTTAAAAACAAGGAAAGTATATATCGAGTTCTCTTTTATACCTATTCAGTTATGTTTTAATGGTGATTAAAATATGACAAATTTTTTAATTACATTTCATATAAGAAAACACGCAAAACAATGAAACAAAAATAACTACGGCAGATAATTACCTTCAGGTATCTAATTCCGACCAATCAGCACCTCAGTAGGATATGACGTCATACAAGAATGGTGGTGAAGGCCGTTTGCAGTCCCGGCCGGTAGGTCACGTGACCGCCGGGAGCCTCGGGTCACGCGGCGGTCGGGAGTCGGACGCGGGGCGTGGTCGCGGGCGGACGCGCGGGGCATCATGCTTTGCTTTGCTTGCTTTGTCAACTTCATATAACTTACTATCGCATTCGTGTGAAAGCCAAACACTGCTCAGTGCCCTTAGAAATTGAGTTTTGGAAAGCTCAAGTCCCTATAGCTCCTCAGGTCGGCAACAGTTGAAGCCTCATCTGAACCCATGTGAAAAAACGAGGGTAAGGAACCTTGTGTTGCTTTTTCTTTTACCGTCATAATTATCTCAAACCATCACAATTTTGAGTTCCACATTGTCTGCTTCACTACATTCGTGTAAAACTTGGGTGAAGGCTGGTGGCTCAAAGAAAGGTGAAGATATTTCTTTAAGTGCCTAATCCGTGAAATTGAAATATCCCGGCTTTACAAATCTACACTTTTCATTTTCTCCACGATACATTTTTTAAAATTGTTTAAATTTTATCTACATTTGTTAAAATCGGGGCTTTGGTTTTGTGTAAACTAGATCATAAAGTTTACTATAGTTTTGTGTAACCTGATGGCTGAAGAAAATAGTAATTTTGCTAAAATGATGTGCGGAAATTTGTTGCTTTCCAAATCAAATTACTCATACCTATATTTCATTCAAAATTAGGAGGCATTATTACTGTTTTTTCTTGTAACATGAACTGAGTTTGGGTACGGTGCTCCGGAAACGTTGTGGAACTTTAAGCTAGCTAGAGCAGTTTCCATAAAAATTGTTTAGATAGTTGACATGGCTTGTTGACAACTCTTTTGCTGTTTCTAAAAAAGTGAAAAAAATTTTCCTGCATTAAGCACACAAGGCATGTTATTCTCATAAGCTATCGAATGTGGGTGTTTTTTAAGCTGTTTTTTTTTTAAAGCTTTTAAGCTGTAACTTCAGTTACTTCACTTTAGAACATATTGCCCAGAATGCGTCACTGATCATGAGCTGGTATATCATATCATATGTAGCAAATACATAAATGAGAATAGTGTGTCATGAATTTTTGTGCATGCTTCTGGATCATCTGTAATTACATCAAAGGCTCGGCTCAAGAGTGTCCTGCCGACCAGCTTATGCCCAACCCTTTCTGTCCGCAGAACGTCGCCTGCGACTCCCGCACGCCGTTTGCCCCGGCCGTCCGTACTGGTCTTCGCGCTGCGAGCCGCGCTGGAGTTCGCGGCGGCGTCGTGGAGCTCCCATCGGGACGGCGTGTGATGCCCGCGTCGAGCTTATAAGCCGTGAGCTTCGATTGGCGGCTCACGCGGTCACCAGCTGTATGTACAGCCTCGGCCCCGACGACCCCGCTAATGGCCGAGACCGGCATACCCCCGGCATGGGTCCGCTGTCCGGCGCAGCGCTGGCCGCCCGCATGCTATGCTACTTTTGGCTGTATCGCTGCCCAGCGGGAGCGCGCTCCACGCTGCGGAAGAGGTACACGTTGCGACCCGACTGAGGACTGCAACCGGATGGTGACACGTCGGCCTCTGCGCCCTGGCCGGGGTAGGCGTGACCGACGTCACAGTGGAGGAACGCCCAAACAAGACCAGCCCACCGTCGGAGCAGCATGGAAATATCATGTTCTGCCTGGACGTCGGACCCGGCGGCCGCAGTGCACCTGCACACGTGCGGAGAGGGGCGCTGGAGGCTACTCTGGAGCTTCTGCCATTCCGCGGCGCGACTGCTGGCAAAACGGCGGCGATTGAGGCGGTTGGGAACAGCTGCAGCAATGGTGATGGCGGTGATGGCGACATGGCGGTTTGGGACTTCATCTCAGCGCGGCCGCCGCCCAGGCGCCGCTGCGCCCGGCTGCTCAGCCACCTACCGGATGGCGGGGTGGCCCTTACGGCCCTCACGCCCGTTCGGTCTGCGGCCACGTTGTGGGGTGGCGGTTGCGGGGTTAGCGGCGTTGGACTTCGTCCTTTATCCAGACTGCACCGTACCATCTGAACGGATGGATCTGCCAAGAAAGATGACATCCAAGGCGGCTATGAGGCGATCACAAAGCTTCACCAAGAGCTTCTCCTTCATGGGGCCGGCCGGCCGTTAAGTCGCAACACCGGCTGCCGAGTGCCAACAGCTGCGTGCGCTGGCGCCGACGCGCTGTGGGCCGCGCTGCTGACGCCCAAGCTGCGATATCAACCATCTATGAATAAGTGGCAGCGGTGGCGGCTTGTCAGTTGTTAACGTGCCTTAACAGACGTTGCGAATAGCCCGCGTTGGAATCGCATGGTTGGGAACACAACGCAAGTAAAAATGGGCTTCCTTGATGAACCTACTTTTTAAGCATTGTAGCCTTTGTAATTTTGGATGTTTTGCTGTAGATATTATTTTCTACATATATACTATATAGGCACTCACGTGCTTTAAATCGCGCAATGCAATTGAACCATGGTAAAGACACTATGATAAATGAACTGAGAGCTGACATGCCCCATGCTTTGTGTGTGTGTATGTGTGTGTGTGTGTGTGTGTGTGGTGTGTGTGTGTGTGTGTGTGTGTGTGTGTGGTTTTTTTTGGCGAGTCGATAAAAGTGGTTTTGGACACTGGATGAGTTTTTAGGGGTGTGGTAAGGGGGGATGTAATTCCACAGACCTTCTGTCAGATTCACTAATGCAGTAGGTCTGTGCGGTGTTTAGTTATCGGAGCATTCTTTGAAAGTCGTGAATAGGGCCACCGAGTACCTAAAGCCGTGATATTCCCCCACAAAAACTTCTTTTAAATAACCGGGGATAGGTACATGAGCAGAGTAAATGCTATTACGAACGCCTTTTTTTCAAGTGTTTTTTCACTTTATTTACACATGCGAAGCACAGCACATCACTAAAACATATCTTGATATTACATGTGTCGCCTGCCTGCAACACATTACACAACCCATAATCATATGTTGATCGAACCAGTCGACCGTAAGCGTTATATCGCTATACCATTTTCAACATAAATACATCGCCATTTGGCAGCAAAATGTTTCATTCGATTTTCTCTCAAAGCGATTATTCTCTCTGCCTCATAAAACTGTTCTACCTGTGATTTCAACTGCGCCATCACGAGTGTCCTACCATCCCTACGCTGGACATGTATGTAACGCTTCGTTAACAGAATGATGACATTAATGACACATGGCACCTGCGTTGCACCGAACAACACGGAACGAGCATCGCACGGAACATGTGCAGGTCGTATTCTCGAGTTCATATTACGAAATAGCCTAATCCAAAGGGCGTGCACAGGTGGACAATTGTATAAATGATGTACGAGAGT